TTTTCTAGCTTTTCAACTACTTACTGATATCATGTTACGACTTCATCAAACTCAATTTGCTCGACAAGAAATGATTGAAATGTGTCGATTGAAATATGAAAATAGCTTAACTGATTTAGAGAAGATCAATGAATTTGAAAGATCCTATCAACATAGTGATGCCTTAAAATGGTATACAACAAATTCTTTTCTTTATCGACTTCTTCATCAAGCACTTCGAATGGAAGATATTGATACTATTTTTAAACTACGTTATTATATTTATGATTTACATAATCAACTAACTCAACTTCATACATCTTATCTTCACTCTTTACCATCGGATCAACCAATATTAACACTATATCGGGGACAACGTATGAAAACTACTGAACTGACAAGACTTCAACAGAATATCGACAAATTAATATCTATGAATAATTTTTTATCAGCAACAAACAATGTTACAGCTGCTATCTTTTTTGCTGGTGACGGCTGTCTTAATGATCCAGATGGGGAAGTATCAGTTGTTTATCAAATCATAATTGACACCAGTGTTCCTCATTCAATTCCATTCGTAAAAATTCAGTATGAAAGTATATTTCAAAATGAAGATGAAGTTTTATTTTCCATGGCTTCAGTTTTTCGAATAGATAATGTTGAACAATACGGAGCATTATGGGTAGTTGAATTAACCTTAATCAACAAAGAAGATGAAACATGGAATATACTTACAGCTCATTTGAATCAATGATATCAGTGAGTCGCCACATATATTTATTCAACAAACTATACTTTACATTGAGAGTTTGATATTGTTTTTCAGTTTAAAATAGAAAATAGAAAAGTTTTTGTGTAGCTTCTAATAATATAGTATTATATTATGTGTGATAAAAACTTGAATATACAACGTTTTTTATACTGTAATAGATAAAATGTAAATAAATTCACGTTAAGATAAGAAAAGGATAGAATCGATGAAATATACACAATCTAAAAGGACTATGAGAAAGATGTAATTATGTTAGACTTATCTCTGTTTACTTCTTTTATCATTCTTCAAAGTTTTCAGGATCAATTATTGTACATAATAGACAGATATGTAAACGTTGAGTATGATATCTTTCATTAATATGAATCATAGAGGGATCAATCTGAGTTTTCTTAATTGACATTTCTCATATAATCATGGTTGTTATATGATTTCGAATGCTATTCGCTGTTTAGTTGATAAAAATATAACGTATGATTTTTAAAATAGATTTCTAATAATCACAATGCTCTAAACATATCCTTTTTTTATTTAAAAATTAATTTCATTATGCCATAGATTTCACAGCAATAACATCTAAATAACAATTTTCTTCTTCTCAAACACTCACTGAAATTTCACTATATATCTTAAAAATTAATTGTTTTAGTTCATATTGAAAAGCTTCTGATACCATAATAAATAAGAAAAATAATTGCATTAAATGGATAGTGTGAGTACTTCATTTACTATTGTCATTTGATAAATTGAATAGACAGTAAGACTAATACTCAATATGATATAAACAATATTTTACTGGTATACAATGTATCTTTCTTGCTAATATTAGATAAACAGTATGATACTCTATCTAAAATTACTTATATCTACCGCTGTCAAATGCGGCCTCAATATAGAAAAATTTTTTTTTTTAAAAAAGGCAATCACATATTCCATGTAGATTGCTGTTTAATATTCATTCACATCTTCATTAAGATACTCACATATCAGTTGACATTGTATGATATATAACTATGACAAAACTAAAGAGAAAAACATTAATAAAATCTGTTTAGCACCACCTGCAATACTAGTAAAGTACTTATTCTTTATATAACTTTTCTTTCATTGGTATCGACTTTGCTAAATCATTCATATGTAACATATAAATTATTTTATGTAAAGAATGTCACATATGGAGTCAATGACACGATATAAGAGAACGAATAATATATAACTGAATTCCCATTATTATTATTTCTTGTGATATCAACATTTGACCTTAAACTGCAAAATTTGACATCAAGATATAGTTGCAATATGGAAGATTATAATGAATGGAATGGTAAGTAGTGTTATTATTCTCTATTAAATATTTGACATCTTTAGTTTAATCATTTATTAATAGAATCCTTGTTCGGCTGTTGTGATGATTGTAAAACCTGTTGTTGTGGCTTATGTTGTACGCCATGTTTATTTGGTCAAAATGCTGAAAAAATTGATAATAGTAATTGTTGCGTCTGGTGTTGTACCTATATGTGTCTTACTGAGGTTTATTTATGTTGGGTCCCACATTATATGAAACGACAACTTCTTCGACAAAAATATAATATAAGAGAAGATCCAAATTGTAATGATCTTCTTGCAACAGTTTTCTGCAGTCCTTGTGCACTTTGTCAAGAAGCTCGTTTCCTTAGACATCGAGGTATAAATAATTAATAAAAGGATATCATCTGATTCTATGTTTTCATACTTATAGCTGAACAAATAACGGATACAACAGTTTTGACTCCACGCATGACACAACCTGGTAAAACTTATTAAATATAAACATCATATTTTAGTTGACTCATAACTTTTAACCTTCGTTCACTCACCGGCAGTATAATTTAATCTAATCTTAATTTTTTTTTAATGGTTATCGATTACATATTATTGTAATATTGATCTTGCGATATCAAATAAATTAATTCACAGTACCGTTCTAGTTTTATTGTTATATATTGATATTTTCAAAGGACTAGAAATTTACATATATGAGAAGTTATTTTTTGTAAGAACTGTATAATGTGAGCTAGATAGTACAATTTAAAAACTGTAGTATGCTTTGGATATACCAGGCATACAAGAATAATCTATTTGAAAACAAAAAAACGGTCATTATATATATGTATATTGATGTTGTTTTGTATGACACTTGAATTAACATTATAGATACATGTACAAATGAAAGTTATCAAACAAAATTAAGTTTCTTATATACTTGTGCTTAAAGATTTTAACTTACAATGTAAACAATAAATTACTATTATTAATAAATAATTGAGGTGGACGAGAGTATCGATATGTGTATACAAGTGCGTTTCGAGGTACGCATATGGTCTATATCTACACCTATATTCTTTATCATAAAATACAAGACAAAAAATTTGAATTTCAAAGTATATTTATTGCTTGTATAAAGTAACAATTGATAATAAAAACAATATATTAATGTTCGAATATAAACCTTGCCAATACTGTGCAAAATAACATTGAAACATAATTGAAATTATAAATAATAATTGCCGCTGATTCTGTGACGAGAATCGATGCTGTTGAACTTTTTATTGCTGCTATTAAAAATAAAATCAATTAATATTCTGACACAAAATTAACCGAGTTTTTATGTTTAATATCATAATGATCAAGAAATTAACAAGAGATGTCAATTTACTTCTGTAAGAAGTTAAGAGATTCTACTTACTTGACCTTGTATTTGAACTTGTCGTAAAATTAGAGGTTAATGTCGAATCTAAATAAGAAATTATTGTTTATCTACATATTTCTAGAGAATGAAAGGATAATGTCATTTACTCAAAGTTGTAATAATTGATACGTAAGAGGTTGTAATCGATGCTATTGATGTCTTCTGTGTTGAAGTTGATGCGATTGCTGTCTTCTGTGTTGAAGTTGATGCTATTGATGTCTTCTGTGTTGAAGTTGATGCTAAGAAAGATTAGAAAATGAAATGACAATTGTTTTTATTCAAATCTATTTGTTTTGAAGATCAATCTAAATCTGAGGCATGAATAAAGATCAGGAAAAAAACTTATATCTACATATATCAACTCAATATAGGAAACCGCATTTTAATATCAGCAATAATAACCTTAACAATGAGGAAATAAGACAAAAGTTTTTCTTAAAAAGCTTACTTTGAATACTAGATGATGATAAAGTGGGTGAAGATGAAGTATGGATTGATGTAGGTTCTGTTGATAAACGCAAAGTAGTTGTATACAATACAGGACAAACTTCAGTTGGAGGTCTTTCACGAAATTCGAAATAAAATTTAACACCACGTCCTTTAGCATCAGATGCTCGAATTAATTGAAATGATACAGATGAATGACAAGTATGAAGTAAAAACTTTGTATATGATCTACCACACATTTCCATAACAGTATTATCAGCTGTAACAATTAATCGATCTTTGATACATGTTGCTGGAGCAAGAGTTGCACTATCTAAATCCATATCGATTATATACAGATAAATATCTTGATATGGTTTTAATGTTTGTAAATTAAATGTACAATCAAGATTTTTTTGTGTATTTGGAAAATTTGGTGATACAATAAATCCACGACGAGTATCACCTTGTGGTAATGTATTATTATTACACATATCATATGTACTTATTTCTGAAATATCATTAGGTACACATGTATAATCAATATGTAAATAAGCTGAGGGTCGATTTTGACATGATGCTAAAGTTTTACCCAAATGATATGCTGTACATGATGTTAGACCAGCACATTTTGCTTGAATTGTTATTGAATCACTTTGAAAACAATCATTTTTATCATAAATACATGCATCTGAACCGATATTGTCATCAGATTTCGCTGCATAATCAGCAGTTATTATATTAATAATATAACCGGGTAGACATTTAAGTACTTGTGATTGACTATGACATATATCGTAAAATGTTGAATCAGTAACACCTAATTCACAATATCCCCATTGATGATCAGTATCAAAATTACTTGTTAATGAACACCATGGCTCTTTAAAAGTTTCACCTGATGGTGAACTTGGTGGATCTGTTCGAAGACAAGATATTTGTTGATTGCCTTGATATATAAATGGGAATTTACAATATTGACGTGTATTATTTGTTGTTCCGCCATAAGCAACAACTAGAAGAAAAAAATTGTTTTTTTTTATTTTTAAAAACTATAATTTACTTTGAAAACTAGGTGGTAATGCACCTGATGTTGTTGGTGGTCGAGTTGTTGTTGTTATTGCTGGAGTTGTAAAACCACTTGGTTTACATGCCCAATTACTAGGTACATCAATTGTTTGAAAAAATATTTTAAAACCACGATAACCAAGTGCTTGATGAGTTGAAACAAATTTAAATTCAACTATATTTGAACAACTAACTAAAACTAATTCAGGTTGTTGTAAACCACAA